CCGACTGATATGAATACATATATGCATATATTGTCAATTTCAATGAACTTTTTTCTTATGCAAAACATGATGATATTTTGCAAATTTATTCGGTACATCAAAATAAATAAAACTAACTGTTACATATATGTGCACAAATGTATCACATTAATAATAATGTAGTAAACCATGGAGCACGAAAACATTTCACAGATCAATCAATTTAGTAAGAAAAAACAAAAAAACGAGAATATCATATCATGAGATAAAAGGATGAATTTTAAAAAAAATTTGAAGAATTTTAATAAAATTATTTTTTTCTTTGATGATATTAATTGTGGAAGGAACTGACTTATTATTGAAAAGCAGAATAATTAAAAAATAAAAAATCAAATAATTTTCAGGAAAGGAAGTTTCTAGAAGCTTGAATTTCTTTTTATAAAATAAACAAGCCAATTTAAAAGAATAATCGAATGAAAGTTAAGAAAATAATCGAAAGAATACTTATCGAAAACGAAAAAGTAATAATTCGGAAAATTCCAACGTGACTAAAAAGTTTATCTTCATATATGCCAGTAACATGATTCATCAAAATGAAACTCGAGGCTCTACTTAGGAATCGCTGACTTCCATTATGACATGGGATTCATAAACTAAAGTCCTAACATTAATTTTCTTCCCCGCATGCGAACTTTGATAAGTTTATCTATCATTTTTTTTTCTTTTCTTCCAATTGTTCGGAATAAGAACTGCCGCAACGCGCCATGTTGGTGCAGTAAACGTGTTGCCCCTAACGATACATGTGTTTAATCGAACTATTAACTAATTGCCGTCGTGAAACGCGTACTATTATTACACTTCCCTTGCCGATGTTCGGATTGACGTAACCCGATCCTTGAAGAAGCGCATGCTTAGGTAATATATACCTAGGAGGAATCGTATATATAAATTTTAGCAATTATATAAAAATGTGTGCATGTGTGCGCGCGTACACACGCACACACATACACAGTATGTACACACGTGTGTGTGTGTGTGTGTGTGTGTGTGTGTGTGTGTGTGTGTGTGTGTGTGTGTGTGTGTGTGAGATATATACAATATGAGGTTTTGGATGGTAGTCATGTATATAAACTTGTTCTAATTAATCACGCGATGCGATTATTAAGAAGAAAAAATCAATTGCAAGTTGATGGATTGTATTCTTTTGTTAATTTAGAGTAAACTCGGTTCGAATTTTAATCTGAATTCACACAATGGAAAGTTCCAAGTGTAGTGTTTGAAATGCAATTTTTTTTATAAGGAAAATTAAAATATTTGTTAAACTTTAATTTACAAGAAGAAATTATTCTTTGTACTTTGATTTTTCTTATCATCTTTTTTAAATATATGTATAAGGGTGTTTTTGTAAAGCAAAGTAAGAATGCAAACAATAAAACGCGCGAATACTCTATGTATAACATAATGTCTATTTAAACATTGAAGTATATATTTATTTATATCTCTAGGAAGTAGTATAATAGTCGGAATAGAGAACATTTGGAATAGAGAATACAGCCAAATTATTCTCGATATTTGCAGAATTAACAGAACACTATCAACAGAACTACTTGTCTCCTTTCTTCATTCGCATAAATTTTTTTATCTTTTCGTTATCTTTATCTTTATCATTATCGTTATTATATAAGAATGACGTCATTATTCAACTATCTTATGCTAGCCTGTTTTATATTTAAGATCGTCTTAAATACAGACACTTAAAATGTCATAAACCAATCACAGAACCGTATTAAATTATTGAAACATTACTTAAAACGATCTTAAAATAAGAACAGATTACCGTCTTTAAATTCTCTTGATCTGACGAACTGTTTTAAACATTTGATTTGAATTTTTAAATTTGAAATATAATACACACACACACACACACACACACACACACACACACACACACACACACACACACACACACACATAGAATTTTTAAAATTTTCTTTAAAATGTATTAAAAAGAAGAAAAAATAAGAAAGAGAAAAAGCATAATAAAATATTTAAAAGAAAATGAGATATAAAAGAAAAAGAAAAAAAGGAATAAGGAAAAAAAATTCTTTTATTGAAGTCAAAGTTTTCGCTATAGAAACATTGGGTCGAAGTTCTTGCCATAAAGACTTGTTTTCTTTTACAATGTGTATTATATTTACACGTGTAGTAGATGTATTGATCAATACATATGTAATAACAAGTGTGTCTATGAGGGAGAGAAGTATTCGACATTGCTAACAATAGTGCAACGTCCTATTCATCCTTGAATAAGATGAATGTAACTGAAAAAATGGAAACTAAATTAAAAGCTTTTGTTATACTCTTCATTAGACATACTCTTTTGTCATTAGAGACATACTCTTATGTCCTTCTTTTATTGTATTATTCTATATTGAAAAATTCCTAAACTTTAAGAATTTGAAAACAAAACTATTTACTTAGGAAAAAAGAACTTAAAAAAACAGCTGACATTGTTAAAATACATCATTCTTGTTTTCCTCGATAGAAACATGCAGGCAATTTGACAAATCTTTTTATTTTTCTACATCAGGTAGTCTTTCGTCATAGAACCTTGTTTTCTGTTTCTTCTTCGTTTCGTTTTCTATGAGTTTTTTTTCTTTTATTCGATTAAAATGATAAAAAATAATCTTTTAATAATCTTTATCGCTCTTTGTGAGCAGTATTTATATCTCTTATAGAAATGAACATAAAGGGGAGAACGTATATGATACATGTTTTTAATAAAAATAGATATAACATATCCTTAACTGAATTCTAATTAATTCATTCAAATAATGTTCATTTCTATCAATATCTATTAATTTTAATTTCAATTAACATTTTATTTTATTCTAAATTCTAGAATCAAAAAAAGATAAAAATAGTTAAACTAAGATTAAAATTAATATTTATATTAATAGAAATAGACATAATATCTATTTTGTAAAAGACGGAAATATTAATTTCTTTCTTGCTTAACGTTATGTGAAAAAAAAGGGTCAAATTACAAATTGTTAAAATCAAATTCCAAAATATCTATTGTATTGAACCTCGAGCCATGCTTGATGCAATCTCTCCTGTCGCGCACCAGGAGGATTATTTGTATATTTGCCAATTGGAGAGTGTCGTCGCTGCAGTCCGATCTTCATCCATCGAGAATATAGGACCATCATCTCTCTGGAGTACCGGGGAGAAAATATATGTATATATGTATATTGTAATATACGTATATATGTGTTCATCATTGTATTGTTGATGTATTATTTTAAACACATTATTTGCGATAAATATCATCACATGCCTCGGTAGTCGAAGAGATAAGATGTCTGCCCAGTAAGCAGAAGATCCAGGTTCTCGATTCCTGGCTAAGGTGGTATTTTTTCGTAAAAATAATTATGAATTTTCACGACTGGTTCGTGGTCGGGCCCCGCCACACTCTCCCTTCTTATTTCAAAATATCTATTACATTAACCAAAATATCTATCAGAAAAACTAAAAAAATTAGAAATTTAAGAAAAGAAATTAGATTAAGAACTAATTAAATTATTTGTTTTATGCAGTTCTGTTGTATTCATTATTAATTAAATTAATCACAGTTTAGTCAAAATGATTCCCTTGATTAATCCCGCCGATTACAAATTTAAACAGAATTACTTAAAACAAAATTTCTAATTGTACAAACTTGTCCTTTATCTTTCTTTTTCATACATCAACAAAAAATTAATTTTATCCAGGTTAATAAAATAGCTAATTTGTCGATAGTCATAATCAATTAATCGCAAATTAATTTAATCGAAACTTAATCAGAATTATTTTTAATTTCTTTATTCATGGAAAAAAAGAATGTTGCACGTTACAAATAATAGCATGAATGTTCTTTTTTCGCAAATAAATTTGATGCTATATATTTTTTATAAAATTGGAGAATAACTCAAAAACGTATCAACGATTTTGTTGTTATTAATTATTAATATTAATATAATAAAAAATTAATGTTAATATTAATTTTTTAATTGTAAATATACAAATTATAAAAATAGGTGTAATATATCTCCTTAGAGATATCCCGATGAAGGGCGCAACCTCTCGTTCGCGCGGGAAAACGGACGCCACGTGCCACGTGGATCCAAGATCCAGACGGATTCGAGACGATTTTTGATAACAGCGTGGCGCGGGATCGGCGACGGGTGTAACAGGCTGTGCCAACGGCGCCGAGCGCGTCCTTCAAACGTTCCTCTATCGATTCTCACGGATCGTATATTATACCGCGGCTCGCGCCGAGGCATGCTAGTTGACGCCACCACGTCGAGCGATCATCATCAGTGACGGGAGCGATCGTCGCCGGATCGTCGCCGGATCGGTAACGAGTCTCGCGCAGATAAGATCCGATAAGACTTTTCGTCGTGACCCGCCCCGCGCACTCGCTTTGTTTCGTTCGTTCGTCTTCTCCGCGGGCGATTGGAATTTTCCCTCTTTTTTTTCTTTCCTTTTCCCTCGAACGATCGAGATCGGACGAAAGACCTCGTAATGAGGTTCATCGCGAGCTGATTAACTTTGATATATCGTTAACATTTTTTTCATCGCTCCGCCGCGAATTTAAAGACGGACATCATCCCGCGGTTATCCGACGATATCTGACGTTCGCCCCGTTTTTGCTTCCACATGCAGAAAGTGCAGCAGCTGGGTGTAGCTGAATAAGACACAGGCAGATCTACGACGAGAAACGGGAACGGAGAGGGAGAGAAACGGCTGGTCGTATCTCTCAGAGAGCGGGCACGCACCGACGGTCCTTTAACCGAGATGTCAACAGACGACGACGGCGGCAGAGGCGGAGGAACATGTTGTACTTCGCGGCAGAACGGCATCGTTCAGCCGCTGCTGACAGGTACGTCGGCGATCCTCTCGATCCGCGACGCGCGCGTCACTCTAACCTCAATGTCGCTCGCCAAACTACACTCGGGATGCGCGTTGTGACAGCACGTCCTCAACGGAGTTGTCCGACTGCGACGAAGAGGTCCTGGTTTTTCAGAAAGCTCCGAAAGCTTCCGCATGATGAAACGGGAACGATCTCGCAATGGAGAGCAACAAACGCTTTTTTTTTATTTTTACGAAGAGACTTTTTTTTTACATGATACATACGAATAATTGGATCAACAATCTTATCTTATATTTCTCGATTATGAGCGGGCTGCCCGATGTCGGAGCGAATTCTCGAGTCGAGCGCGGAACGCGAACGCGCGTGACCTTGCGAGATCGCGAGAGGCGACAAGCAGGCGATTTCTGACCTACGACCGAAGTTCAGTTGCGGAATTATGTATGATAATTATGTACGACGTTATTCCCTCGGAAAGGGCACACTCCTCCCCGCGAAATACATGATGCAAGAGCGTGATTGTACTTTGTAAATACGCAACCGCACGTATCTGATGATGATGTAAGCCGCGCGCAAACATCTCGCGACGATGCGTTTAAGTCAATGCGGAATTCGCTTGGGTTCTAACGTGGCGCAGAGCTGTTGCTTTCACGTGCAGAGAGAAATGCGCCGCGTTTCCTCTAGCATCCGCCGTGAGTCGCAGACCCGATGATAAAATAACGGCTTTGCAACGTGCAATCTCTCCGCCGGTGGAAAAGCATAGTTATTACGCGGTTGATATTTAATCGCGTGTATACAAGCTGGCCTAAATCACCTAGTATTAGCACAACTTGTTTCTTATGTAATTTCTTTTTTTTTTTCACCAACGATATATTATGATTTGTTTTCCGTAAGTTTCTCTAATACGCTATCTTAATACGCTATCTTTTCTGTGTTGTTTCTTATATACTGAAAAGGAATGTTATTTATTTTCAGATTTGTATGAAATCACTATGGCTTACGCCTATTGGAAGAGCGGCAAGATGAACGATCACGCCGTGTTTGATTTGTTCTTTCGTAAGAATCCTTTTCAGGGGGAGTTCACCATCTTTGCTGGTCTCGAAGAATGCATAAAGTTCTTGAATAAATTCCATTATTCTCCTAGTGGTATGTATCTACCACTTTTGCTGCCTATATATTTTATAATTCTTTTATAAATTTGTATAATAATTTTTTTTGTATTGCAGATATCAAGTACCTGAAATCGACTATGCCTACTACAGTAGACCCAAGATTTTTTGATTATCTGCAAAGTCTTACTGCTAGAGATGTCACAATATATGCCATAGACGAGGGATCTGTTGTATTTCCAAGGTGAGTTTGAAAATTTTAACATTATTTTGTGAAAATAATTCTTGAAATTCTTTCATTTGTCAATTTTTAATTTGAACAAAACACATCATTGTAAGATTAAAAGCCTCCATATTTTGTAAATTCTCTTTTATTGATAAAAGACTCTAAATATAGTTTATAAGTCTTTCGATTGACCGGTAAGCCGTTTTTAGAAATATTTATCGATAAAAAAATTTAGAATATAGGCTTTTACATATAACGTATAATAGTATAAATAAATAGTATAATAGTATAAATAGTTATACAAATATTTAAGTTTAAATTATGTTTTTATTAGAGTTTTAATTTTTTAATATGTGATTGGATTTAAATTGCCTAAATTTAACTATTGGTTTTAATTGTAGAATTCCACTGTTAAGAGTGGAAGGACCGTTAATAATGGCACAACTTTTGGAAACAACTCTGTTAACATTGGTTAACTACGCAAGTCTAATGGCAACCAATGCAGCAAGATATCGCATGGTTGCTGGGAAAAATATAACGTTGCTTGAATTCGGTCTTCGAAGAGCACAAGGGCCTGATGGAGGATTGAGTGCGTCTAAGTACAGCTATGTTGGTAAATACTTTATATTTATTTTAGTTATTAATTTAATAAACTATAATCAGTTTAAAATACAGAATAATTGTAAATTTGTAAAACAATATAAATTTAACATTGAAGTAAAAAAATTTGATTTATAAGAAATTTGTATCAATTATTAATAATAATATATTAGCTTATGTCTGCATCGCACATTTCTGTTATTTTTGTTCGCGTTACAAATTTGATATTTTTATTGTATATAATAGCATAACGTTGAAACAATGACCTACATTGCAAAAGCAACATAGAATAAATATAGAATTATATGTGTAGAAATCCTTATTGCATATGCATTGTTTTATGTTTAATATCTAATTGCTTGTAAAACATCTAATCATTTTCTTATATAGTACATCTTGAATAACGTTTATGTCTTTATTAATCATATATATAAGGTTTTTGAGATATACAAAGTTTTAAATATGCCAATCTGCAGTGTAATATATATAATGAACATGGAGGTGTCTGGTACTATTCCATCATCCTTACACTGACTATACTTAAGAAAATTTCGTGAAAAGTGAAATCAATACATTGTTCTATCTTGTGCCAGTTGGTACTGCCTAGGTGATGAATAACAATTTAGGTCAAAACTGAGGATATGTGTGTGTGTGTGTGTGTGTGTGTGTGTGTGTGTGTGTGTGTGTGTGTGTGTGTGTGTGTGCGTGCGTGCGTGCGTGCGTGCGTGCGTGCGTGCGTGCGTGCGTGCGTGCGTGCGTGCGTGCGTGCGTGTGCGTGTGCGTGTGCGTGTGCGTGCCGGCAATGTACGCGCGCGCGCGCGCGCACACACACACACACACACACACGAATATCTATCATATTAGGATTAATATTTTGAGAATTTTGTATTTTATATATTTTAATGGATATGCAACGTGAATTAATTAGAAATTAAATTAGAAGGAATTTATTTTAAATTCAAAATAATTTGCTATTTGTTATAGGGGGATTTGATGGAACTAGTAATGTTTTGGCTGGTAAATTATTTAATATACCTGTATGTGGTACACATGCACACGCATACATCACGTCCTTCACCAGCATCAGTGATCTACGAGGAAAAGTAAATATACCTGAGAACTTTTATCTTTTTACAGTTAATAGATAAATGGTTGAATTATATATTGAAATTCTGCAAGAAATGTAGTCGAAAAGAGAAAAGAAAAAAATTGATTGTTTCTTTTTGCAGACATTAGCGCATAAGCAAACCGGCGACGTTCTAGATCTATTGGAACTCGCTTGTAAGCATCGTGAAGCTATCGCCAATGATTTAGGAGCTTTGGCCTCACAGGCATCTGGCGGAGAATTAGCGGCTTTAATCAGTTACGCCGTCGCTTTCCCAGAAAGATTCACCGCTCTCGTGGATACGTATGATGTTAAGAGGTATGCTATATTGCTTGTTTATTTAATGCTTTCAGCTTAGAAAAGAAGAAAAGCTTCTCAAAAAGAGAAAACCTGATATTTGTATCTGAAGTTTTTAATTTGTGAGCTTTTATTATTTTATTTTCGACGTGCTTTTGCGTCAATTTTATATTAACTTTCTGCATGAGTGCTTTGTTATAAATTTTTTTTTTATTTAGTAGTATATGCAGCTTGTGTATTTTGCTAATTGGTTTGTCATGCTTTTATTTTATATTTATTTAATCTTTTATGTTAACAATTATATAAAATCGTGATAATTATTTGAATTAATGGAAATGTACAAATGATATTTTAGAAATTCTTTGAATTTATAACGATGATTATTCAAAATAAAACTGATATTTTCTAAAATGCGTGTATTGTATATTCTGAGATTTACACTGAGATATACACTATGCAATATGTTAATTTACTTGTTATAATGTGCATTTATATATGCGATAGAAGCTATTTGTAATATATACATAGGTAAAATATCTTTCGCATAGATGTAGTATTGTAAGTATGTCTTCAAAGATCTGTATTATGACAAAGTCTCTTTTTTTTTTTTTACACATTTTTATCTCATTACCTATTCATCTTTACACAAATGTAATTAAAAAATAATTAGTGTACTTTAAAATAAAAAATTAAAATCCACGAGATGGAAGTACATTTTTAATGTGATTTTCATTTGTGTTTGTATACAATTTAGTTTTATCAGCGCGTCGCTGATATAACTAATAGGCATGACGGCACGCGTATACACACTATAGCCTAACAGGAGTGTGTTTGTAGCATTGAGACGTCAGCCAAGGGGCAGGCACAAGTGGCCGGCCTAAATGTAAAGAATAAACTTCTAACTAACGGGTCCAATACACACGCTCAAAACGGTGTGAGAAACAACCCATTTATATCAGAATCAACTTCGCAACTTCACAAGAACGGCTTTTTAAGACGAGGTGAATTGGGTGAGCTCTATGTGAGGTACGATATCGTTCTCTTTGCCTGTTTTGCGGAATGCAATTCTCTTTCCTTCCTTTTTCGCGTCAGATCTACGCTTTGCGATACTTTAAGGACTTTTTTTGCTACACCAAAACAATCGTAATCCTTCTAATATTTTAATGATCATAATCACACTTACTGGATACAGAGAAAGTTAATTTTGATATACTTTTATAATCTTACAACTTAAAGACTCTACTACTCTTTTTATTAATAATTAAAACGTTTAATAAACGTTTTAAAACGTTCAATTAATTTCCTCCTCTTCTCTCCACTTAAAAAATGTTAAAATATGTTCTCTCTCTGTAAAACAGGCAAATTATAAGCTATCTATGTTATTATATCATGTTATTTTCATGACATCAATTAGAGATGAAATAATAAGAATATTATTTTTTATTAGAATTTAGTTGTTAGTCATTATATATTTGTGATCTTATATAGTGCCCCTCCCAATTCTACCCCTTTCTCGGTAATTAATATGGGCACATTTCATGTGAATATTATTATATTTTATATATCTTGCTTGTTAAATACGTGTTTTGTCACGAATTTTGTTGCAATATTTTAATATACAAAAATGTTGAAACACTATACAAATGCTGAAATACTATGCGAAAATAAATATGCTACAAAAAAAGCGATATATAGCGATATAGGGTGTCCCAAAAAAATGACCAAGTGGTAATATGCAGATAGAGCAGACTAAACTGAGTTGAAAAATCCTGTACTATTTTGCGATTTTCGCAATAATTAACGAGTTATTAATTTATGAAAATAGTCAAATTGCAAGCGTGCGGTGAGATGGATCGCCCAGTGAGACACGCGTTCGCCGTCGTTAGGCACATGTGAAACACGCTAGGCGCACGTAACGTACGTAAATAAAAGCGTAGTCATTGCTGCTAATCAACAACTCCACGCGTGCTTAATGCGTGTCTCGCTGGGCGGTCCTATCTTACAACGCGCTTGTAATTTGATTATTTTCATAAATTAATAACTTGTTAATTATTGCGAAAATCGCAAAAATCACAGGACTTTTCGACTTAGTTTTGTCTGCTCTACCTGCATATGACCGCTTGACCATTTTTTTGGGACATCCTGTATGTATATACAATGTATATACAATGTATGTAATAAATTTAGCATGTTCTCGATCTAGATTGATATATTTAGTTGGTATCAATTGGTGTTTATAAATATAAAATTTTCTTTATTAGAGGCATGATAATATAATAATTGGTTGAAATAGTTATTATTCTATTTATATTATTAGTGAATGCACGAGTTTATGTAATCTTAGTTAATTTATTTTACGCGCTTGATTTTTTTGTATACTATATTTCTTAATTTTAAATTTGACAAATCTAAAAAAAATGTTTAATATTAACAAGGAATATAAAATTAATATAATAGAAATTCAAAAAATTTTAATTTAAGAAAGAAATCATAAAAAAATCTTAAAGAAATCATTTCTATAAAACAAATAATCATTTATGATAATAAATTGAATAGATATGTTTCTTATAATATATAAGTAAATTCTTTTAAAGATATTTAAAGATATTTGTTAAATGACAAAAATTATGAGCAAACAAGTAACAAGAATATGATTTCACAAAATACAGAAATTTTGTCAAATTTAGACTTAATTTTATGTAGTTTTTATAAAATTATACTATAAAAAATATATGACTAGATTGTTTTGCATTTAATATTTAATTATAATTAATAAAATTATACAGAAATATTAGTTGCCAAGATATCTTCTGTTTCCTGTATAGGAGTGGTCTCTTAAACTTCTGTGCGGTAGCGTTAGCTTTGAACGATTTGGGATATAAGGCTATTGGCATCAGGATTGATAGCGGTGATTTGGCTTATCTCAGTAATGTTGCGAGAGATATTTTCGAGAAGATTGCTGTCAAGTACGACATACCGTGGTTCGCAAAATTGATGATTTGTGCGTCCAACGATATCAATGAAGAGACTATAATAAGCTTGAACGAGCAGGTAAAATAGATTTACAAATTATAGATAAATAGATTTACAAATTATAAATAAATAGATTTACAAATTATAGATAATAGAAGATGTAACAAATATATATATCTTTAAGAGTCACAAAATTGACTGCTTTGGAATCGGAACGCATCTCGTAACATGTCAGAGACAACCAGCATTGGGTTGTGTTTATAAAATGGTAGAGATCAACGACGAGCCAAGGATTAAGCTCAGTCAAGAAGTCGGAAAAGTGACGATACCAGGCAGAAAGGATGCCTATAGATTGTATGGATCGGATGGCTACGCGTTGATAGATCTTTTGCAGAAAACCACGGAGGAACCGCCACAAGTAATGCAGAAGGTTCTTTGTAGGCACCCATTCCAACAAACGAAAAGGGCTAATGTTACACCGTCCCGAGTGGAACCTTTACACAAGGTATCACTTGATTGAAATAATAAATTTTCAGATTATAGTACGCAATATGTAGTATAATATAGTACGTGTAGTATAGTACGCAATATAATATATAATATGTAGTATATAAATGTATAAGATATTACTTTATACATTTATATAGTTCGAATTGTTTAATTTGTACTTCAAATTTTTCTTCTCAAGAGTTTGATTGTCTCACTGCTCTTTTTAACATAATATACAAATATTTGATATTTTTTTCTCTAGTTTTTTATTACTATCTATAAATAAAAATATATTTTTCTAAACTATTTGTCGATTTTTTATAAACGGTTTTGTACATATTATTATTTGTATTACTATTATTAATAATATTTAAGATTTATAATAAATAAAAATATGTACAGATATATTGGAAAGATGGTAAATTATGTCAGCCATTACCAACCTTGCAAGAAATTCGCAACAGAGTGCAAGAATCTCTCAATACATTGCGTAACGATCACAAAAGGAATTTAAATCCAACACCATATAAGGTATACTAATTAATAATTAATATTTTAAGCAAAGATAGATTATCAATAGTTTTCTCAAATTTGCGAATTGGATAAAATTATTTTAAAAACAAAATGTCTAATATTTTTTTAATCTAACATTTTAAAAAATTTTTCGATTTAGTGTAAAATAGATATTAGTATTGTTCATTAAAATCCCAGAGAAAAGTTTTTTTTATGTTTTTTTCTTATGTCTGTTACAGGTAGCTATCAGTGATACTTTATACAGATTTATAGACGAATTGTGGTCACAAAATGCGCCGATTGGAGAATTACGGTGAAGCATACTACTCTTATACGAGAGTATTGTTAAACTAGTCTCTAGCAATTATAAAAGTAATAACAAAAAAATTAAGAATCACAGATTTTACAAATAAAATGCTTAATAAATCTTTTTCCTAAGAGCAATGACAACGTATCATCGCAGTCGGATATATATATACATCATAATATAACACGATTGCGTCGTAGAATATATCACGAGAAAGAAAGAAGAGCAGGGAGAGCGAGAATTGTAAGAGCTATTTTTTACATTTTCCATTGTTGAAAATTATATTATCATCGTCGCAATCTATTTTGGTAAATCTTGCGCAAATCATATAACATATTTGTATAGTTTTACACGATTTATATAGAGCAAATTGTTCTGTTACAGAAATTTAGAGTAGTTTTGTCGTACACACATACACGTATTCTTATTCCTATTTTTTAAAGAAAAAAAAGTACAAAATAGTACATGTATGTGTGATCTTAGGTATGCACAAATCAGATTTCCGTATCCTAATGATAATTAACTCTCTACAGAACCAGTCTAGATATACATATATATATATATACAGTTGAAATATTTACAAAATAATAGAAATGTACGGTATAATTGTTTCA